TTTCCCCCCCCCCCCATACAAAGTTTTCTGGTTAGACCCAGAGACAGACTTCTACAGTAAGGGCTCATGCAGACAGACTGAAAAAATGCAGCCTCTGACCGCAGCTCTATAATAACTGGTGTGTCCATGCAGATCTGTGATCTAAAGAAGCGTTTAGAATTCGATATGTCCCATCGCACTCCTGACCGGAAAGTCCCAATAAAACTGGGTGGGTGCAGCAGTGACAGCAGATGCCTCCGCAAATCTCAAGAAACCAGTAAAAAGTCACTCGCACTCCAAAGCAATGCCAAGTCAATCTCTTTATTGACTATGCTAGTGTAACATCTCAAAGCAACGTTTCGGAACCCAGTGGTCCCAAACAGAAAAATGTTTGCCAGAAGAAGGCACCACTAGGTTCCGAAACGTCGCTTTGAAATGTTACACTACCATAGTCAATAAAGAGATTGACCTGGCATCGCTTTGGAGTGCGAGTGACTTTATACTGGTTTCTAAAGCAGCAATTAGGGATGTAAAAGAAATGCCCCAAACCTGCATTTGAAGCATACTGGTGTAATTTGCGTGCGTACCCACAAACACGTGTGTAAATGCATGGGCATACATGTATAAATTCATTTAAAATCACTCATCTACACTGGACCTCACTGCCAGAAACTGGCAACAAGATCCTGTATGAAAAATGCATTTAATGGCTCATAGAGTGCTTGCATTAATGCGCATTTATGTGCGTGCAGCGTTCAAAAGCATGCACATGTACACGCGCAAAAATGCAAGCACTTTGCAGCCATTAAAAGTGTTTTGTTTTTTTTGTGTGTGTGTTGGATCCTCCTGCCTGAGAGATCCAGCGTAGATATGAGTATTTAATTACGTCCATGTGCATGAGCCTTAAGGCAGAGAACACTGTAAAATAAGTACAATACTTTATGAAGGATCTGACTTCAGTAAACTGAAATGTCATTTGTTATTATAGGTTAATGCTTTCTGCACAGTATAAATAGAAAATACACTACCACTATGGTGTATGAAAATACACAACAATTGGTATGATTGATAACCTATATGCATACATAAAGAATAGATACCACCTCCTGAAAGATAGTGAGGTGGAAAAAAGAGGTTATACTGAAACAGTATCAATAACGATTAGCCTATTGGCTTATTTTATTAGCATATAGAAAAAGATTATTAAGTATAAAAGAGTACAAACAGAGCACCATCGTGACAGCAACTCACTAATAAAAATTGGCAACGTTGGCAAACATATCGGTCACTAAAAAACACATAGGAACAACACCGTATCTGGGACCCCTTTTAAATTATTTCATTGAATGCCGCCACTTGTAGTAATGTCCAAAATACGGTGTTGTTCCTATGTGTTTTTTAGTGAGTGACATGTTTGACAACGTTGCCAATTTTTATTAGTGAGTTGCTGTCATGACGGTGCTCTGTTTGTCCTCCTTTTTTTTTTTTTTTTTATACTTACCATTTTTTTTTTATATACTAATAAAGTAAGCCAATAGGCTAATCATTATTGATACTGGTTGAAGTTTTTTTTCCGCCTCACTATCTTTCAGAGGTGGTATCTTTTTTTTTTTCTGCACAGTATATCCAATATACTATTTGTATCTCTTTTAGTGAGAGAGTCCAACCATGGTTACTGTACATGTCTCAATTTGATCCGAGTTTGGATTCTGATTTCATGTGTTTTTAAACGTGTAAATAAAGTAATATTTGTGACAAGCAAATGTGTGATGGTAATATATTACTGGCCTTTATAAAAAAAAAAAAAACATATTGACTGGTTATAGCTACACATCACAAACAATCCAACTAAATCCCCTTACAGAGCATCACCACGTGAGTGAGACCACCATGTTATTTTTGAATAAAGCTGAATTTAATTCCTAAAAGTACATCCAAAGTCACTCCTGTTTGCCTTTTATCTATGATGCTGCACTGTAGAAGGCAACTTGTCACTTTACTGCCTCACTAATGCCAATAGATCCTCAAATCATCTCTGAATTCATGCTGACACTGTCCTTCCTTCTGGAGGGTGGCCACTTTTGTTCCCCATGGTCCCTGTGTGTGTTGTAAAGTAGCCACCACTCCAACTCGCTCCTGTGATGGACTACAATCTCATGTTTAGTTTCCTAATTTGTACTGAGATTGTATCAATGAAATCCAAATGACACTGCGCTCGAGTGAGTGATCTATATAAAATGTAGGGCTGTTACTGATTAACATTTTCGTGTTCGATTAATCGAATTTTTTTTAAATCTATTTATTTTTATTAATTATAACGCACATACAGATCCAACTACATTGGCCTATACACATACAGCACAGCAATGAAGTAATAAAATTAACTAGGATTACACTAATCCAGCACGTTATTATTCTGAGTTGTCCCACTCAATATGGCCGCCGCTTAATTGGGGCAACCCAGAATAATAACGTGCTGGATTAGTGTAATCCTAGTTAATTTTATTACTTCATTGCTGTGCTGTATGTGTATAGGCCAATGCCTTGGAGTTTGGTCCACACTTGTGGGCACACTGACCAGCTGGGAAGATTGTAGAAGAAAGGTTCGATGTCAATTGGCAGGCTGCACAGTGATGTTCCCTTTACATGTAAGTATAACCTATTTAAAAATTGATAGGGCAGAACAAGTTTCTTGGGCAAACTCACCGGCCCAAGTGGCTCCGTCGGCTAACGAAGGAAGGGGGGAGGAGTCCGGTGACGTCACGGACATCGACGTCAACGGACTCCTCTTCCCTTCGTTAGCCGACGCAGCCACTTGGGGACATCGACGCCACCTGACTCCTCCCCCCCTTCCCTTCGTTAGCCGACGGAGCCACTTGGGGAAGGGGGGAGGAGTCCGGTGACGCCGATGTCCGTGATGTCACCGGATCTCCGACGGGACTCCCGGAAGCTGGCGGAGAGGGGAGCATTTTCATTAGCGATCAAAAAAAATTTAATCGATCAAAAAGATCAATGATTAATTTCTCGATTAATCGTTAATCTAAAAATTGTGTCATTGATGCAGTTTTCTCAGAAACCACTACACTCAAGTGTGGGATATAATAAAGTGATAAATATCTACAAGAAATTAGTCTCAACAAAGGTACAAAGCCGTTACGTACACAAGTTGCATGTGTATATACCGTATTTTGCGGTCCATAAGACTCACCGGACCATAGGACGCACGGAGGTCCGGCGCGCCTTATGGAGCACTCGGCAGACTGTAACTTCTGTCACAGCTTCTATGACAGAAGCTGCAGTTAGTGACCGCTGAGACAGGTGGCGCTGTGATTACAGCGCCACGGTCTCCGTGATCACACAGAGCAGACGAAGAAAGTCCGTTCTTCGTCTGCTCTATGGTGATCTCA